GCAATCAGACAAGAGAAAGAAATTAAGGGCATCTGAATCAGTAAAGAGGAAGTCAAACTGTTGCTGTTCACAAATGATATGATAGTATACCAAGACAACTCTAAAAACTCATCCAAAAAGCTCCTAGAACTGGTTAATGAATTCAGCAAAATTCAGCAGGATACAAAATTAATGTACACATATCAGTAGCTCTGCTATACACCAACAGTGACCAAGCTGAGAATCAAGTCAAGAATGTAACCCCTTTTATAATAGCTGCAAAATACAATGAAATACATAGAAATACGCCTAAGCAAAGAATGAAAGACCTTTATGAGAAAAACTATGAAACACTGCTGAAAGAAACTATAGATGATACAAACAAATGGAAATAGGTCTCATGCTCATGGAGGGGTAGAATCAATATTGTAAAAATGACCATAGTGCCAAAATCATTCTACAAATTTCCATGAAAATACCACCATCATTCTTCACAGAACTAGAAAAAATAATCCTAAAATTCATGTGGAACCAAAAAAGAGCCCGCATAGCCAAAGAAAGACTAAGAAAAAAGAACAAATCTGGAGGCATCACATTATCCAACTTCAAACTATACTATAAGGCCAGTCACCAAAACACCATGGTACTAGTATAAAAAATGGGCATATAGACCAATGAAACACAATAGAGAACTCAGAAATAAATCCAAATACTTACAGCCAACTGATCTTTGACAAAGCAAACAAAAACATCACGTGGGGAAAGATCACCTTAGTCAACACATGGTGCTGGGATAATTGGCAAGCCACATGTAGAAATGGATCCTCATCTCTCACCCTATACAAAAATCAACTCAAGATGGATCAATGACTTAAATCTAAGACTTGAAACCATAAAAATTCTAGAAGATAATATTGGAAAAATCCTTCTAGACAGTGGCTTAGCCAAAGACTTCATAACCAAGAACCCAAAAGCAAATGCCAAAAAAAAAAAAAAAAAAAAGATAAATAGATGGTACTTAATTAAACTAAAAAGCTTCTGCGCAGCAAAAGAAATAAACAGCAGGATAAACAGAAAACCCATAGAATGGGAAAAATATCTTTGCAATCTATACTTTTGTTGAAGGACTAATACCCAGAATCTATGAGGAACTCAAACAAATCAGCAAGGGAAAAAACAATGTCATCAAAAATTGGGCTAAGAACATGAATAGACAATTCTTGAAAGAAGATATACTGATGGCTAAGAGACATATGAAAAAGTGCTCAACATCACTAATGATCAGGGAAATGACAATCAAAACCACAATGTAGTATCACCTTACTCCTGCAAGAATGGCCATAATCAAAAAATCAGAAAATAATGTATGTTCACAAGAAGGTGGTGAAAGGGAATACTTTTACACTGTTGGTGGGAATACTAGTACAAACACTATGGAAAACAGTATGGAGATTCCTTGAAGAATGAAAAGTATATTTACCATTTGATCCAGCAATCCCACTCCTGGGTATCTACCCAGAGGAAAAGATGTCATTATATGAAACAGACACTTAAACCTGCATGTCTACAGCAGCATAATTTGCAATTGCAAAAATATGGAAGCAGTCCAAATGCACATCAATCAATAAATGGATAAAGAAAATGTGGTCTATATGTGACATGAAATACTATTCCGCCATAAAAAAATGAAATTATGGCATTTGCAGCAACCTAGATGGAACTGGAGACTATCATTCTAAGTGAAATAACTCAGGAATGGAAAACCAAACATTGTATGTTCTCACTCATAAGTGGGAGCTAAACTATGAGTTCACAAAGGCCTAGGAATGATACACTGCACCTTGGGGATTCAGGGGAAAGGGTGGGAGGAGATTGAAGGATCAAAGAAACTACACACTCAGTATAGTGCACACTGCTCAGGTGATGGGTAAACCGAAATCTCAGAAATCACCACTAAAGAAATTATTCATATACCAAAATAAATAAATAAATACATGTTTAACCAGAAAAAAAATTATATTCCCCTTAAAAATACTTTATTTCCTTTGTTTCTTTACAACACTAGAATGTATTTTCAACTTTATAGGCCGGGCGCGGTGGCTCAAGCCTGTAATCCCACCACTTTGGGAGGCCGAGGCAGGTGGATCACGAGGTCGAGAGATCGAGACCAACCATGGTCAACATGGTGAAACCCCGTCTCTACTAAAAATACAAAAAATTAGCTGGGCATGGTGGTGCGTGCCTATAATCCCAGCTACTCAGGAGGCTGAGGCAGGAGAATTGCCTGAACCCAGGAGGCGGAGGTTGCGGTGAGCCGAGATTGCGCCATTGCACTCCAGCCTGGGTAACAAGAGCGAAACTCCGTCTCAAAAAAAAAAAAAAAAAAAAGAATTGTTTCAACTTTATATTCTACATGTGTACATTATAAACAAGCCTGAAATAGATGTCAAAAAGTTACTAATACAAAAACACATACATATTTCCCCAGCTTAGAATATACTTATCAATTTCAGTAATTACATAGACAGTATCACTGCACTTATGGCTAAAGACTGGTAACCCAGCCAGGTGTAGAGCATGTTTGTGTTTTTCAGAATGTATTACAAATTATTATTTTTAAAGAAAGAGCTACATTTTAAGTGTGTACAGATGAGAATTTTGGCTTGCAGAACTGTTTTTAATATTCATCTATGGTAGGTTCTTGGCAAAGAAAATGGACATTTGTTCCCACTGTATGACTTTAATAGACAGAACAGTAGACATCCTAGGAATACTCTAAGGAAGCAACCCCAGGTTATGGAAAATATCTCATAAAACATTGGTATCTTTGAATCTTATTTGTGACAATTGTTCATGTTATTGTACATTTCATATTAATATTGAATGAGTAATTTTAACAGATTTTTAAATGAGCTTCTAAAGATTTATAAATTTAAGCTTATATTTCTATAAGTAATTGTAATTCTAAAGAAATCCTAGCATTTTTTAAAGAGACTGATAGATTGAGTTCAAAAGTCATATAGAAACCCAAAGGGCTCAATAATGTCAAAATAACTCTGAAAAAGAAGACCAGGCCGGGCACAGTGGCTCACGCCTGTAATCCCAGCACTTCGGGAGGCTAAGGAGGGTGGATCATTGGGTTGGGAGTTCAAGACCAGCCTCACCAACATAATAAAATCCTGTCTCTACTAAAAATACAAAAATTAGCTGGGCATGGTGGTGCGTGACTGGAATCCCAGCTACGCAGGAGGCTGAGGCAAGAGAATCGCTTGAACTCAGGAGGCAAAGATTGTGGTGAGCCAACATCATGCCACTGCACTACAGCCTGGGCGAGAGAGCCAGATTCTGTTTCGAAAGAAAGAAAGAAAAGAAAGAAAGAAAGAAAGAAAGAAAGAAAGAAAGAAAGAAAGAAAGAAAGAAAAGAAGAAAGGAAGGGTAAAGCTGGAGAACTAACATTACCCTATTTCGAGACTTTTATAAAGCAACATCGTGTGTGGTATTTACATATTTTAAAAGCAAATAGGTCAATAAAATTGGATAGGGAATCAAGAAATAGATCCATACATATATGAACAACTGATTTTTGACAAAAGGTGAAAAGTCAATTCAGTGGAGAAAACAGTCTTTTCAACAAATGGTATTGGAACATTTGGATATCTTTTTTGCAAAAAATGAGCCTAAATTTAAAAAAAATTCAAAATGCAATATAGAGCTACACGTAAAACCTAAAACTCTAAAAGACAATACAGAAAATCATGGTGACCTTGACAAATATATCTTAGAAATGACATCAAAAGCATGATCCACCAAAGAAAACATTGATAAACTGGACTTTAACAAAAGTAAAAATATCTGCTCTTTGAAAAACACTGTAAAGAGAGGGGGAAGGTCAGTCTTAGACTGAGAGAAAATATTTGCAAATCATTTATCTGATAAAGGACATGTACCCATAATGTAGAATAAATTCTCAATTTTAATAATAAAAATAATCTAATAAACAACAGATTTGAACAAATGCTTCATCAAAAAAGATATACGAGTGGCAAATAAGCATTTAAAAAGATGTTCAATGCCATTAGTCATTAGGCAAATGCAAATTAAAACAGTGATGAGATACTACCACACACTAAAGTGACCAAATTAAAATGACTGAACATACCAAGTGTTGTCAAGAGTGTGGAGCACCTAGAACTCTCTTACACTGCTGGCACAAAATGTGCCACCACTTTGGACAAAAGATTGACAGTTTCTTAAAATGTTAAATATCTGTCAAGTACATGTTCCAGTTGTTCCATAGGTAGGTATTTTCCCATAAGAAATGAAAGGGTATGTCTATACACAGCTTGTACCTAAATGATCATAGCACCATTGCTTGGACTAGCCAAAGACTGAAACCCAAATATGCATCAACAGGTGAATAGATTAACAAACTAGTATATCCACACAATGAGATAGCCTCAGAAATAAAAGGAATACGATTGATACACTTAATAAAATGGATAAATCCCAAAATAACTATGAACTTTGACCTCCCCAAAATTAACCAAAAATACATTATAAAAGACCCAAAGAATGCATACTGTAAAACACCATTTATATAAAATATTGAGCCTGGAAATGAATCTACAGTGACAGAAAGCTCATAAATGATTGCCTGAGGGATGGCGGGGAGGGAGAAAAAAACTAAAGAGAAAAAAACTAAAAACAGGCTCAAGGCAACTATTGGGAGTGATTAATGGTCAATATTTTGATGATTATGATAGTTTCATGGGAGTATAACATATGCCAAACTTATCAAATTGTACACCATGAATATGTTAACTTTAACAAATGTTAATTCTACCCCAATAAAGTAGTTTTTAAGGTTAAAAAATTTTTTTTAAGTTCCTCATCCCTTTGAGCAAATGCCTAAGGAAAAATGAATATGAAAATGGGAATAACAGGAGCAATCAGAAATATAAATTTAAATTCTTTTCTGATTTCATATAAATAGCACATAGATCTAAAATAATGGAACTTACCTTTTCTCCCACATACAGAGACCGTAATGCTATTATGTGACTCCACTAGATGGTGGAGTTTTACAGATTGCTGAAAAAGAAGGGAAAATGGAAAGGTCTTATCTATTTGAGCATAGGTTTATACAGCACTGTCTTATTACCAGTTGAATGGATTGTACTGGCTAAAAGCAAAGGACTGAGTAGTTCATTATTTAATTGAAAAAGCATCCAACTCCCAGTGCTCTTCACGCAGCAACAAGTATGTTTTCTTCAGCAGAAAGGAATTTCCTAGCATGCTCTTTCCACTCAGAAGAGTTTTGAAAACCACAAATTTGTGTTTAGTTCTTTAGATAAGTAACATCAAAAACAAGTCTTATTCAAGATACGTGTTTATACCTAAATAGCTCAAAGAACTAAGCATTATTTCAGCTTTCAGCAATCTCACATCAAAGTTCCTAATCTATAACTTTATAAAGAGTTAGGTGGTTCCTGCTACTTCCTCATGATATTTGTTGTTCTGATACATGAAATATACAGAATACTGAGACTGAATCAATAAAAGAAACAAACAAAACACAATTATATTTGATTCCACATTATTGTGAAACCATTGTGTGAAAGACCTCCTACTTGCTTCTGGGGGTTGAAAGTCCCAATCATTTAGTGGGTTCATTTTTTCATCCCGATTTTGTCATTTAAGATGCTTTCTAAATTCCCCAGCTTCAAATTATTTGCAAATCTGATAAATATGTTCTAAAAATGATTAACAGAATAAGCCAATGTCAAAAAGACAGGGTGTTCTGCTTTTGAGTAACTCATTCTTTTATTCATGTGTGCATTAATCAACAAACATGTATTGATCAAACTTTAATATTTCAGGAATAAAATGAACAAAAGAAATATGGTTAAGATATGTTAAGACACCAAGAAATTTAAACAAAATTTCAATAAAATGAACAAAAGAGATATGGTTAAAATATGTTAAGACACCAAGAAATTTAAACCTGCGGAGAAAAATAGGTTTAATCAAATAATTGCATATGTAAATATATGACAATCAGAAATAAGAAGAAAAATTAAAGTACTTTTGGATCATACAGTATATAGCAAAGGGAATCAATTAGGAGAAATCTCCCCTGAAGAAGAGACATTGAACCTAAGATCTGAGTAGGAGTGATTTAATCAAGGGATAAGGGCAAATTATAGAGATTTTTAAAAATGGACAATTCCAGGTGACATGTCAAAATGTTCTGAGGTTAGAAAAAAAGAGTATGTTTCAGGAAACAAAAAGCCTACTGCATCTGGAGGGCAGAAAGCAAGGAAGATGGAATTAAGGCAGGAGGAGGGTGATGGAGCGTGAATTAAGGCAGGAAAAATAAGTAAAAACAGCAGTTACACATACACGTGGAAAAGCAGTCCTTAGAGAGTGGCTTGAGGATTCCTGAAGGTTTTCAGGAATGTCCCACAGGGGCTGAGAAACTATGCTTTTTTCATAATAGCACTAAGATGTTTATTGCCTTTTAGAATCTTCTTCTCACACAAGTGTACAGTGGAGATGTCCAGAGGCTGAGTGGTGTTTAATATCACAATAGACTAAATGCAGAAGCAGTTATGAAAATCCAATTGTAAGAAATACAATTATCAAAGTATTAAAATCAATTGATATATAATTTTTTTCTTTTTTACTATTATTATACTTTAAGTTGTAGGGTACATGTGCAGTACATGCAGGTTTGTTACATAGGTATACATATGCCAAGGTGGTTTCCTGCATCCATCCCCTGCTACCTACATTAGGTGTTTCTCCTAATGTTATCCCTCCCCAATCCCCCCACCTCCTGCTATCCCTCCCCTAATCCCCCTACCCCCCGACAGGCCCCAGTGTGTGATGTTTCCCTCCCTGTGTCCACATGTTCTCACTGTTCAACACCCACTTATGAGTGAGAACATGCACCGTTTGGTTTTTTGTTCTTATGTTAGCTTGCTGAGAATGGGATCTAATTAAACTTAAGAGCTTCTGCACAGCAAAAGAAACTATCATTAGAGTGAATCGGCAACCAACAGAATGGGAAAAAATTTTTGCAATCTACCTATATGACAAAGGGCTAATAACCAGAATCTACAAAGAACTTAAACAAATTTATAAGACATACAAATTTTTTAAAAGACTGCTGTGGTCTGAATGTGAGCCAAAATTCATACATTGAAATACTAACTCCCGAGTTGATGATATTAGGAGGATGCGCCTTGGGAAGATAATTAGGTCATGAATAATTTTAGTGCCCTTATAAAAGAGGCCAAGAGGGACTGCTTGTCTCTCTCACTATATGAGAATGCAGTAAGAAGGTGACATCCCTGAACCGAGAAGAGAGCCCTCACCAGACACTGAATCTGTTGGTGTCTTGACCTTGAACTTTCCACTCTCCATAACAGTAAGAAATAAATTTTGTTGTTTATAAGCGGAAAAAAAAAATTCAATTGTCTTCTATTAAGATTTACAAAATTGTAAAATAATGCCATTCTCCTCACTAAATTATTTTTATTTCAGAAAATAGTTGTCTTTATATATTTATATATAAATGTTATGTTACTATTATTTTAAATTAATAAATATTTTATGATTCTGAGTTTTCATTCTTAATTTACTAAATATCAATAGATATAACCTACAAGATAAAAATCTCTTAGAGGTCCTCAGTGATAGTTTAAAGAGTTCTAGAAACTAAAATGTTTGAGAGCCTCGAGGTAAAGCTTTAAAGTCTGTCATGAGATTTAGAAGTTGATTGTAAGAGCAATAGAAATATTTTGAAGCATTTTAGTGATAAAAGCATGTAAATAATCATGTTCTGCAAGAATGATGTGTGGAGGCCAGATGGGAGGTGACTGCAACGTAGAAAACGATGCTATCGTGAACCATGATAGTGGTAGGGTGGAAAAAAGTGAACGATGCAAGGGATATTTAGGAGGGAAAAATCAAAGGACTTTCTGTGTAATTGAAGGGGAAGAAGAAAGAAAGTTTCAAGGTTGGCAACTAGATTTCTGGCTTGTGCAACAGAATGGTCAATAGTATCTGTTACCAAATCAGATAAACCTAACTGCAGATTTGAGGAGAAGAGTTCTTGAATTTTATGTTGAAAGTGTTGAATTTATGATAATTTTTATATTAAAGTGGGGATATCAATTAGGTTGTTCCTAATTGACAATATAAGCCCAGAACTGAATAGAGATATCTGGATTTAAGAGATATATACAAATTTGAATTAGCATATGCCTTTAGAAGTCATGGCATGTACTGCTATAAAAATAATGAAGAATCCTTTATGTACTTACATGAAAGATCTTCAAGACATATCAATAGTAATTTTTTAAACACGTTAGAAAATAATGTAATTATACGACCACTTACATAAGAAAAAAAGAAATATGTATTCTTGTATTCGCTTCATTTGCCTAAAAACTTTTTTGGAAGATTACACAAGATACTAATGAAAGCAGTTGGCCAAGTGGAGTGGGAAAGAAAAATGGATTCTTTACATTATATGCATTTTCATGTTGTTTTGACTTTGAAACACTCATTTTTTTAAAAAGCCAGACAGAGGAGGATAAGCTATCAAAAAAGAATGGAAAAGAGCAACTGGAGAGGATGGAGAGTGTGTTGTCACTGATGCCAAGGAAAATAGCACTTCAGAAACAATAGAGCAGTTAACTGTCAGATCCAACTAAGAGGTTTGGCAAAATCTGTACTGGGAAAAAAATATATATATATATCCACTGCAGGGGGACCACAACATTAGCAAGCAAAACACCAAGAACCCAATAAAAATTAATAAAGGACACAAAGAGCTCACAGTAAAAGAAATACAAATGGCTTAAAGTGTGAAGAAATGCTCAACTCATAATGGAAAACATGCAATTAAAGTTATTGAATTATATTTTCATTCATATTGGCAAAGACAAGAAAAACACTTATCTACTGTTGTAAGGAATATAAACTGGTATTGCTTTTTTATACATAGAGAGATGTGGTCTCACTATGTTGCTTAGACTAGTCTTGAACTCCTGGGTCCAAGCTATCCTTTCACTTCGGCCTCCCAGAGTTCTGGGATTACAGGTGTGAGCCACCACATCTGGTCATTATTACTTTTTTAAGAGGCATTTTGACAACCTGCATTAAAATAGCGTACCTAGCTTATGACTAATTAATTTCAAATGCAGAAATTTTCTATCTCTATTTCAATACAGGTATTTATAAACGTATGTACTTGTTACAGACATATGTAATATGTGTGCATATGTATATGTATATCTAGATGTATGAGATGATATATGTGCAAGGATGCTCTTGCAACATTGTTTTAGTAGCAAAAAACTAGCAATAATCAAATATGTATCAACATTGGACTGGCTAAAATTTATGGTACATCTAGAGAAAATGTATTTGTTGCAGATGCAGAAAGATATTTCGGATAGAATAGGTAAAAATTCAAGTGCAGAACAGTGTACATTGCATATATTCATTCTGTCAAATTAATGTATATGCATTTAATATTGCTAAGAATATATAGAAACTATGGTCCTAATGGATGCATCTTGAAAGAGGATCTGAACACCGGGAAGCTTTCCCAAGAAGAGGGATCCTTAATTTTTATTCACACTCTTTTGTTCTGTTTGAGTTTTATTTTTATCATAGCCACATATTGCCCCTTCTATTAAGGAAAGGAAACAACTTTTAAAAAGACTTTTTAAATTTTAAAGGGATCTATGGGCTTTGGGATCATAGTGGCGACCTTAACAAGATATATTCTAATGGAGTCACAAGGGAGGAAGGCATGTCGGCATGAGTGAAAAGTAAGAGGAAGATGAGTAAGTAAAGGTAACAGACACAAAGACTCTAGAAGTGTTCATGTGAATGGAAGAAGAGTAATATAGTAGTAGCTGAATCCAGAAGCATGTTCAAGAGAAGAAATCATTTTGTTTGTTTGAGTTTTGTTTTTAAGTTGGGAAAACTTAAAAATGTTAAATGCTGTTGGGAAGGCTCTTGAGGAGAGAAGAGAGGAGTCATTCATGGACTACGTAAGCACCCCAAGAAGGTGGGAAAGGATGGTCTCTCAGGCACAGGCAGAGGACACTTCCTCCACTGGAATGAGAGGTCAGGGCAGGAGGAGGCTGCAGAGATGAGTCATTTGGCACTTGGAAAGTGGGGAGTAGTTGGGCAATTTCCTGTCTTATGGCTTCCATCTTCTTTGTGAAATAAGTTATGTCTGCTGAATTAAAGGAAAAGTGGAATATGAGAAGATGGGCATCTCAGACACCAGAAAACAGAGATGGTTTGAAACCTTAATTTCAGAGAATGGTAGAGGACCTTGATTAGAGATGACCAGAAGGCTTGTCCAGATGAGGTTGCCATTCAAGGATTTATAGTGCAACCAACCAATCTGTTCTATGGAATTATTTTCCAAAAGTATCTAGAAAACTGGTGTAGGCATAAAGAATCTAGGATTTGAATTGGGGCCTTGACAAATGAGCACCAACATAAATGGCACAGGAGTTCACATTAAACAAACTCCTCCAGTTTCCATCTCTCTTCCACCATCTTCAAGTCCCATCAGAATTCTCTACATACATTTTTTCACATATTCACAATTCATAAACCTTTGCATGTTGTTCTGGCTAATTAGGCTTGAGTAAACTAAAGAGAGAAGAAAAACAAGTTGAAAGGTTAAGGATTGGAATGGGAGGAAAGGGAAAGGACTAAACTGTTGAACACTGGTTACTGTGCTAGTTACTTACAAACTTGGTCTCATTTACTATGGAGTAGAAAGTGACTATTTCCTGATTCTCCTTCCTCACAAATTTTTAATAAAGTCACTATCCCTCCCTTGCTGAGACCATAGAATTAATAGAAAAACTCACCTGTCTGAGATCATATACTGTCAAAGCTATGGAAATGATGGACATGATTATGATGGCAAAAGCATATTCCTTATAGTCTTCACTAAACCACAGACAGACACTGAAGAGTTGAAATATATAAAACGGATTTAAAACCTGTTGGCAGACATGAAAACAGGAAGACAAGAGAGATTTTTAGGCTTCACGCTCATGACATACATCATCCCACACAATATTCTTATTATATTTATCCAGCAATTGACATGTGCCAGATACTGTTCTAAGCACCTGTACCTGAATTTTCTCATTTTATTCCCACAGTTAACTTATTAACCAGAAGCTGTTACTTATCTCCCTTGTAATGATAAAGAAACTCAACCTTAGATCTTGAGAAACATGTCCAAACTCATGTGACTATGATTGCCACAGACCCAAGACTTAAACCCAGGCAATATGACACCAGAGCACTTACTTTTTTTCCTTTTAAGATGGAGTCTCGATCTGTCTCCAGGCTGGAGTGCAGTGGCATGATGTCGGCTCACTGCAACCTTTGCCTCCCAGGTTCAAGCCATTCTCCTGCCTCAGCCTTCCGAGTAGCTGGAACTACAGGAGCATGCTACTATGCCCAACTAATTTTTGTACACTTAATAGAGACAGGGTTTCACCATTTTGGCCAGGATGGTCTCAATCTCTTGACTTTGTGGTCTGTCCGCCTCAGGTTCCCAAAGTGCTGGGATTACAGGCGTGAGCCACCACATCCGTCCCCCCAGAGCACTTACTTTTAATCACTGTTGCACTTTATCATTTACAAAGTAGGGTCTCATGTATTGACATGCTGACCATCAAAATAGTTATTTTTAAAGTAGATGTTGTCATCTCCTGTTTACACTTACTGGCCTTCAGAAAGGTGAAGTATTAGTTGAGGTCTACAAAGTTAAGATACTTTTTAATTTCTATGATAAAACACCTGCCATATTTGAAGCCTTTAAAGAACCTTACATTAATGGGTGAGTTGAAGACTGCATGTTCTCAAAAGTAGAGAGCTGTGCTGAAAGCAGTAGGCTATAATCGAGCATCTAGAACACTGTGGGATTGTGTGGCTGTTAACCTCAACAGGTGGAATTCTGCTTTGGTCAAAAACATGTTGTGCCTTGACTTAAATTCCCTGTAGTTGTTTTCTCTCTGTCTAATACAGGAATGGTAATCCTTTCTGCTGGTTAGAGAAGCCGAACACAGAAACATTCCCTATTGGTTTGTTTTGCTTTCTTTCATGCTTGACGGCTTGCTGGAAATATTTTAAAAGTACCTTAAGTTTAGTAAGCTTTTTTTAAGGCAAGGAGGAGTGGAGATAGAGCACAGGGAAACCAGAGTACAGCTAGAGGGCTATGGTTTGATAAGAATCACTGAAATGAAAAAATGAAGAGCCCAGTGATAGAGTCCAAGAGAAAAATTTCATCTTATAACTTGAGATCAATAGTACTAATAAGGTTAAATAAATAAATTTTTTTTCTTCCTACAAATTTTGGCACCAAGGAAATTGCACCTACTACCTAACAAAAGGATTGGCTTAAAAAAAAATTTGAGTTTCACAAAGTTAAAACAAGCTAAGCAGCATCGTATTAAAAAAGAAAAGAAACATTGTATTCATGCAGTCATTAAATGGTAAATAAGTACAATGAGTTTCACACCCTATATTACATAAGACAATGTGCAAAAGAGCCACTGGAAGAAAAAGAATAAGCAAGAGATATAAAGAAAATATACTTGACATACTTTCAAAGCACCTTCTATATTACAACTACTTATTAACAAGCAGTACTTCTGATTGTTTCGCTAGAGCCAAACTTCATTATTTTCTATCCAACACCAAGAGAAAATACTGGAGAAATTACCTCTTTGATGAGCAGTTTCCAAATTGGTGTGACTTCAACATCGATAGTATTAGGCCCACATATTAACCTCCTGTAGAAACAAATCACAGATCAATCAGTCACAAATAATAAAAATTAAACTCACTCCTCACCTATTCAGAAAAAGGTCTATTCAATGGTCACTTTCTCACTTGTGGGACCAACATAAGCCTCCCTTGCTACATACCATTCCCAGCCTTCTCAGAATAATGGGAGGGAAGGGTTCCCAGGTGCAAAAACAGTAAATATGATCATATTGTTTCTAGAACTATACTCTTCCCAACTTCTAAATATTTTTCTAAATAGTAATCGGGGTATTTAATATTACATATCGTCTTATTCAAGTAGTTTCAAAGTTGGCATATTCCCAACTCTGCCTCTCCTCAGTTCCAGTTTTATTACTATAAGACAGCGGGGTAGTTAAGAGAAAATACCTTCATTGATAAGGACACGCTGTTCCTGCTTTCCTGCCCCTATTTAGAAGTTCTGGGAAGTTTCAGAATGTATTTTAATGTGAGTGCAAAGGTTCTGTGATGTCAAAAATAGTTCTACACACATAATTATTCAGCTTTTTAATTCAGTCTCTCTAAAACCCAGAGATGTGTTTCTCTGATTATGCAAAGGACAGGCATTTTATGAATTACGTTACTGTTGAAAACACTGCTTTCTCTGCGTCTTCTACCTTGATGCTCAGATTAAATCACTTGGTCAAATACATGACAGCAGTACTTCTCAAACTGGAATGTTTATATAGCTCACTTGGTGATATTGCTAAAATGAAGATTCCAATTCAATGAGATGAAAAGTGGTCTAAAATCCTGCAGTTCTAACAAGCTCTCAGGTGATGCTGATTCTGCTGGGCTCTACAGCTCTTTGAAGTACTAGAAAAGGGGAAGGAGGAAGCATGTCCATCACAGAAACATAGAAGAGCAAGGTCTTTAAAGAGTCCTTCTCAGATGGGCGTGGTAGCTTATGCCTGTAAGTCCAGCACTTTGGGAGGGCAAGGTAGGCAGATCACGAGGTCAGGAGATCAAGATCATCCTTGCCAACATGGTGAAACCCCATCTCTACTAAAAATACAGGGGAAAAAAAAAAGCTGGGCATGGCGGCACATGCCTGTAATCCCAGTTACTCAGGAAGCTGAGGCAAGAGAATTGCTTGAAACTTGAACCCGGAAGGCAGAGGTTGCAGTGAGCCCAGACTGTGACACTGCACTCCAGCCCAGTGACATTATGATATTTTCTGATATTAATCCATTAACATAACCATTTACTGATCTATTTTGGCTAACTGATACTAATCCTTTTGAACTACTATAGGCAATAATATGCATGGTACCTAATATCTTGTTCTTCTCTTGTTAAGCCTGATCCAAATTTTTGATGTATCTTGGCAGAACTGAGCCAGTCTTCCAAAGAGCTAAAATAATAATAATGAAAAGAACATATTTAGCAATAATACTTTTGAGATAACATTTTTCTTCTTTGTACTTGCTAAAACAACTTACCCAATTTTCTGGAACTGTCCTTCTAAGTAGTTCCAAACATATCTTATTTTCTGCACTTTTATGCATCTCACCTGCAAAAGAAAAGTACTAAGAAAGCCTCTAGTTTGAGTATCAGAGAATAAATAGCAACTCAGTGACTAAAGAAGCATTTGTTTAAAGAGCAAAGATAAAACTCCAACATACTTATTTAAGATTTTATCCTTTTCTAACTTATCCTTTGCTTTTCTATCGTACAAACGGCATTCTTTATTAGAAGTCATCATTCAATCAACATGTATCATGGACCTACTATACAGAAAAAAATACATGAATAAAACTTAGTCTCTGCATTCTACTACTTTGTAAACTAAGACGGAAGAAAATTCCAAGAAAAAGACATACAGTCCAATATGTACATGTAAAAAAAAAATAAAAACGTAATAAAAAATACCATCTTGAAATGCTGTAGACATAAAGAGAGGGAAGATGATGGAAGGCATCAGGAAGGACACAATGTATGAGCTACAGTGTTGAAGGAGTGAGAGACTTTTACTCAGATGAGGAAAAAAAAGAAACTATTTTAAAGAGATTGTTCACAAGTTAGTTTGGGGGAAGAAGGCAAGTGAGCATGCCCATTTGTAGAATGAAGAATGAAGCTAGAAAGATAAACTGAAACCAAAGTATTGATAGAGGAGTTAAGAAAAAATTACTTAGGCAGATAATGAGGGTACAGAGGTCCTCAGTAAGGTTTTCCTTTTAATGAAAAGCAGCCCCTAATCATTTTCCTTTCTAACAAAGAGCAGCCTCTAAAATTGAGCTTCAGACATAGATGCTCAAAATCATGTTCAAAAGGGTGACTCCAGCTTCCCTTCTCTGCCAGCCACATGTACAGTAAGGAATGGACAGGATGGCAGCAGCTGAAGGGAAAGTTCATTTGCATAATAAGATAAGGGTGAGGCGGCCAGCATCCCCACGTGCTATGTAAATGTCATACCTGATGGAACCAATCTGTGAGCCCTCTGTAAATCAGACATCGCCTCCTCAAGCTGGACTATATAATTTGGCACATCCCCGATGGCCGGTCTTTCCTAACAGAAGTCCTCTCTCTCGCTAGAGAGAGAGCTGCTTTCCTTTTTCTTTTTTTCTTTCTTTCTCTTTTGCCTATTAAACCTCTGTTCCTAAACTCCTCGTGTGTGTCCGTGTCCTAAATTTTCTTGGCACAAGATGATGAACCTGGGGTATTTACCCATAGCTGCTTCAGTATGAGCAGCCTCAAATGTTAGAATGAGGTATTTGGGATGTTATCTCACAGACAATAGATTTGCCGAGTAACCTATAGAAGAGACATTGATACTAAAAATAAAAAGCAAGGAATCAAAACATACTACTAGAATAAATCACTTAAATACAAAGGAAGGAATGGGATGGGGATAATGAGATGGGGAAAGTTTGTTGATGGTACAAAGTTGCAGTTAGATAGGAGGAAGAGAGGAAGAAAGGATCTACAGAACAACTAAAAAATAATTAACAAAATGTCAGTAACAAGTTATTATCTATCAATATAAATGTAGTTTAAATCCCTAAGCTCCAAGATCTAGGCTACTAAAAATGAATGCTAACCCTAAGCAATAGGTATATGTACATGTACTGATGTGGATACACACATACACACACAACACACGCACCCACAGACAGACATTCAAAGTTACCAAGTAGGGTATAAAATGCTATCTTTTATTTTACAGAATGTCTTTATCTCAGTAAGGTTGGTTGAAACATAATGCTTTTAAAAGTATATCTTATTTCCAGTTGAGAGTGAAATGGACCATGGGAATGACATACAATCTCTCTCTAATTTGCAGATTTCACAATCTGCAAAGGAAATATTTTTAAATGACAGGCTCTAGGGTGTGTTAGCCATTATGACACATGTTGGAATCTCAAGCATCTTGCTTCACAATTTACTTTTCTCTTTAGTATTCTCTGTAGTTTTGCAAACAGAGCAGGATTGTGATCACAGCTACTATTTATTGAGCATGTCAGGACTTTTCACACATTATGTTTCGTCTTCTCCATCATCCTGTGATAGGGCAGATATTATTTTCCTCTTCACTTTGTACCTGAAGTTCATTTTGATTGAGTAACTTGCCAGGACTTTGAACTCCAGCCCATCTGGCTCCAAAATTCAGTCTCTTAAGGGATATCATATTCAAGCTAGTCCCAAAAGAAAATTTGAAAATCCCTTGACTTCAGGATTCAAGCTTTAGAAAGTGATGGTTGCCTACTTATTAGTTATATAAATGCAAAAATCTGTGTTAGAAAAATTTTAAAGCACATATTGTGGTTCCAATGTGAGGCCCCTGCTCAGTTAGAGAATCTCTTACCGAGGGAGAAACCACAAACTGAGGTTGAAAAATGTATAAAACATAATAGACTTGAAACATCTGTAGATGAAAGCAGCAATAATGAGAAATAAAGAGGTTACTGATTTTTACCTCAGGACAAAAAATAGAAAATTCCATTATCTTCTAACAATTTCTTAAGCCATTCTTCTTACAGAGTGAGAAGAATGGCTTCATCCTGGACCTTTTAAGCATATTTGAGATTCCCCCAGGAGGAAACATCTCTGCCAGGAGTTTATCTGCTTTCCCCATCACTCTCAGAGTCTCTGGAAACTGGTAAGAGAATGTTAAGCACAATATTTGCAAGAGATGAGGTTTATTTGCCCATTTCCTGGAAATTCAGACCAGAAAACAGCAATTAGGAAACTGCGGGGTGAATTTCATCTTTCTGCCCATGAATCAGGAAGATTTCCTCTCCCTGGGCTTTCTGCTTGTAATTTCTTGTTAGAACATGTTATAAGAGCATCCTGTTCAACAGGGTAAGCACTGGGTGTTAGCTCAGCATGCAATCCTACAAGATGGTCCTTAGCATCTCCTCTTAGCCTGTGTTCCCAAACCTGACATGGTTCTTTGCTGTAGTCTTCAGACTTCCTTTAAACCAGCAATCTCCAACCTTTCTGGCACCAGAGACCAGTTTTGTGGAAGACAATTTTTCCATGAATGTTGGGGATGGAGTGATGGTTTCAGACCATCAGGCATTAGTTAGATTCTCATAAGGAGCACTCTAACCTAGATTCCTCAAGTGCACAGTTCACAACATTAGGGATTTCACTCCTATGAGAATCTAATGCTGCTGCTGATCTGACAGGAGGCAGAACTCAGGCGGTAATGCTCCAGCTTGTCCGAAGCTTACCTCCCGCTGTGTGGCCTGGTTCCTAACAGGCGATGGACAGGGTACCAATTGGTGGCCCAGAGGTTGCGGACCCCCCCTTTAAATGGCCCTAAATGGTTATCACCTCGGTAATCTTGTTATTGTCATCAAGGCTGTGCCCATGACCACTCCTCTGACTTTAATGAAAGTTTTGTCCCATATTACTAGCATAGCTCATTGCAGTTCACAAATCACCTTAATATCCACCTTCTCATTGTATGTGCATAGCAGCCTTGAGAAAGGCAAAGAAGAGTTATTACTTTTATTTTGTAAATAAGAGACTCAAGACCAGAGAGGCAATAACACCAAACTGCCTATGCCATAGCTGGTAAATAAAGATACTACACCTGGATATCACTCCTTTCCATTTCAAGACCCCTACCCCTCCTGCAATTCTGTGTGTCCACTTGGCCATTTCTTCATTTATCTGTCCACTTATTTATTTGATGCTACTAAAGATGCTAGAATTTCAGGGCAATAAAACTGAGAACACAGGCTGATCTGGGAAGCTTACTTTTCCAGGTGAACGGACACCTAACAGATTAGGTAAACTATTATGTGGAGGTACTTGACCTCCTTTGTTTTTGCTCATTTGGGCAGTTAAGACAACTGGGTGGGTGGGGTGCAGTGGCTCATGCCTGTAATCCCAGCACTTTGGGAGGCCAAGGCTGGAGGATCGCCTGAGGTCAGGTGTTTGAGATCAGCCTGGCCAACATGGTGAAACCCCGTCTCCACTAAAAACACAAAAATTAGCCAGGCATGGTGTCGGCTGCCTGTAATCCCAGCTACTTGGGAAGCTGAGGCAGAAGAATTGCTTGAAGCTGGGAGTGAAGGTTGCAATGAGCAGAGATAGTTCCCCAGCCTGGGCAATAAGAGTGAAACATCCCCCCCCATCCCTCCCCCCCGCCCCAAAAAAAAGAAAAAAAGAAGACAACTGGGTGATAACAAATGACAATGACAATAGGAAAATTGCTCATCATTTACTTATATTATTTTAAATAACTGACCTTGAGCTCATAAAACTAATTTAAACAGCTGACTACACTCACATAAATGTAAGAGAAAATATTCTTATACAATGTTTTCAACGTGAGTGTTAGCTAGTCATAATCCAAGCAGAACTAATTTAATAGGATGAAGAGGGAGCAACCTAAATACATTTGAATGACAAGAATTCAAATAAAGTCATTTTTGCAGACACAAGCAAACCTCCTGGGATATTCCTGGGTGATTATCTTTACTATAAAATTAACCCTATTACACAGATTGTAAGATTGCATGATACTTTTAAGAGCTAATATGTAAGAGCTGGGCTGGGTGGTACATGCCTGTAATCCCAGCTACTAGGGAGGATGAGGCAGGAGGATCACTTGAACCCAGGAGGTTTGAGGCTGCAGTGTATCATAATCATGTGCCTGTGAATAGCCACTGCACTCCATCCAGCCTGGGCAACATAGTGAGTTCCTACTCTAAAAAAAGTAAAAGGAAATAGAGCAAGTATGTATTGAGCATCTACTATATACCTGGAACTACATTAATTTTTGTATTTGTAAATTTATTGAATTTTATCAAATAATATTAAAAGTAGACATTATTATTATCCTTTTTGTAGATGAGAAAACAGGCTCAGCAGAGTTAAGATCAATGGTTTCACTGTTTAGAAGGATGAAGCTGTGATTTGAACTCAGCTCTATCTGGCTCCAAAGTTCAAGTTTGAAATATATACTATCAAATGAGGATCGGCACCATGGAGGAGCTACATTTAACTTTATACTTGAGGGGCAAAAAGATTAAATCTCTCTGGCATCAGCAGTAGCCATAAGTTTACTTACCTTTAGATCTGGCTTTCTTATAGCTCTATTTATGATATACTCCTCATCTGTAATGAGAGGGTGGTCAGGAGTGAGACCAAATGCGCTGTTTAATGCTGACAGGTAGATCCACATTACCTTTTTCCAAGAGTAAATTTGAAATTCATCCTGAGGAAATAGACATCAAAACCCCCATGAAGTTAAGAGAGGTCATCAGGCTAAAATGCAACCTGAAAAACATCATTTTAATGTAATTCTGTAAGCGTTTGGAGTTACTGAACATTCTTGGCAGAATGGTTTGTCTCTGAAAGATGATGGATATAGAACCATGAGGGAAAAAGACCTGTCATCATTGATTGAGGAACCTGATATGAAGATGAGGCACCGACACATAACAAAGCTTGAGAGTCGGGAGGCGCATCCCCAGGTAAGACTAGTTCACTGCGTCACCTTTTAGCCCATGGCCTGATGACCATCCCCATCTTTCGAGGCTTAACTAAAATTCAACCTTTTACAGAACAGCCTCATCAACACCCTTCCACCAGGGGGAAGAAAAACTGTCACTTTCTTAACTTCAAAAAATGTTAACTGTCCCTCACTTTTTGCCTGTATTCTCATAGTTCTTCTAGACTACCTGGAATTTAGGGACCAGGTTTTATTGTTCCGTATCTACTCATGCATGTGGAGCACTGAGACCTCCTCTGAAAAAGACTGAATCCATGGACTAAACCTGCCCAAGGTAATTGCCAAGATGTTAGCACAGGTGGGGTTGAAGAAGGAACCTTACTGCATGACCTGAATTAAAATTACTTCCCTTTGCAGTTTACTGATTACTTCATCACAAAGTAAAATTAGAGGGAGAAGCACAGGATGGAGAAACAGATACCACAATGGTCCCTTAGAGACTGATTTGATAATGACAGTGGTTATTATCTGAGTGGGTAAATACTAAGCGTAAAACCCACTCAGATGACTAAGAAACCTCAGGATTTAAGAGGTATAGCAAAAGGAGTTAAACCAGGGAACAATTTGATGCTTACGAAATGTAGGTCAGAGCCGAGAATTGTCTCCAACACCACACCCATTTTGGCTATGAAGAGTGGCTTAGTTGACTCTGCAAATGGCACAGATGGGAAGATATAATCATTGTAGCTAATCTGTTATATTGGTCCTCCTCAAGAGAAGCCAATCTCTATGCCTTTGCTCCTTCGCCTTCCTTAGCCTGTAGTACATATTCTCTCTTCTCCTTAAGTCTTTACATGGCTGATTCTACCATCCTTCAGAGTCCAGCTCAGAGTCCATGCCCTGAGAACCTCCCTAATTCCTCTGGGTGATCTCTCTTCTAAATTGTCAAGATACTTGAGATTCTTACTGCATTTTACTCTTTGCCTATGCACCTTACCACTTCTCTTGAATTGTGGGTAGGAAATGCATATGACGCATGTCTGTGTTTCAGCCAGGCTTGGCACAGATTCTCTGTGTGTGCGTGTGTGTGTGTGTGTGTGTGTTTGTGTGTGTGCGTGAGAGAGAGAGAGAGCGAGAGAGAGGAGAGGAGGAAGAAGCCTACAAAAGGGGGAAATAACCTTAATAGAAATTGGAACATTAATTAATTGATTTTAAAAGCCAGTGAAATTGGCCGCTACCCTATGAATTAAAAAAAAAAATGACTAAATTAATTCAAATCAAATTGTATGGAGTTAAGAATGGTGAGCCTAAGAATGGTGGAAGATAGCTACATTTTCAATGCCTAGGCCACTGAACTGGTAGACATGTCTAGGTATGGAGTAGGCAACCAACTCTCTTGAACAAACCTTGACATAGTTCAGCATTACATAGCCTTGCTTCTGACTTCCTTAAAAGGTTTTTTAAATGATAACTTTCCATTTCTAATTATAAATAATTAATATTTATTTCATACTATGTTCTAAGCACGTAATGGCACATATGTATTATTTCATTTATCATCAAAAATCCTATGGAATCGTTACAGTTTATTATTCTCCTATTTAATTGGCATGGAAACAAAGACATAATTGATAACTATTAGAGCAGGAACTTAACAGCCCCCACCACACTCTTGCTTGCCTTCTGCAGAGTCCCCTCTTACCTTCCACTTTACTCTACATTTTTCTTAAAAATATAATTTGATTGGACTGCCATTTTTATGTCCAGCCTGAACTGAGACTTCCAAAGAACACAGTTTCAATGAAAAATTTGGTTAAAAAAATGTATAATTTGTTGGTAAATAGGAACACAAATTATAAAACAGCCATCTAAACCAGAGACCTCTGGCCGCCAAGTGAGGACAATTAGGAAGACAGCTGCTATTAACCATCTCCAGTGAATTACAATAATATTAACTACTTTTCATATGACTACTTAGCAGTTTGTAAATAAATTGTCATGTTATCTTATTTTAGGCTTACGATTCTCCAAAGTTGGTATTATAATTATTTCCATTTTGCAGATGAGAAAACTGACCACCAGCAAGGCTAAGAATTGCTCAAGCCAGTCTGAAATAGTAGTAGGAATAAAACTGAGACCTGAGTCCAGATCTTTCCATTCCAAATCTTGGTTCCTTCCTCTTTTTTTCAACAAGTTGTCTCATGGTGTCTATGGGTTGCATGTAAAAATCACCTCGAATTCTGTACCAAGTAACAAATAGTATCCAGTTTCTCACAATCTCTGCTTTCCTGGCAGCATAGAATCTAATTCCCAAAATCAAGCTGTCACTCCCTAGCCCTGTGTGGCAACAAACACACTTGCAGACTGTAGTGCCTAAAAAGGGAAAAGCAAAGTGTCCATTCTCAAAGGCCATATTAATCCAGTGCACCAACTGTGTGCCTTAGTCTAGGTGTGCACTAAAAACTGACATTCATCTATACACCCACATCTTCTTATAGCTCATAACATTACTAAATCAAAGGTGCTTGGGTATATTTGCTTTTAAGCTCACTGTCTGTCATCCCCATTCATTCCTAAGCCCAATAACTCAGAATTCTGTATGAAACAAAGTAGAATTCTGTAGATAAAAATGATGGGGTAGCTAGATGACCCTTTTGCTTAGAGTAGTGGAGTGACACTGACTTCTCTCTTGTATACTACCCTATTGAGGACTCTCAAATCACTCCATTTTCATGGACTTCTCTGTTTTCATTTTGGGGTTTTCCAATATGAAAAGGGCACAGGTTGAGGCCTGAACTCAAACGCCAGCTCTAAACTGCCTTACAACTGTCTGAAGCTAATTTTCTTTATTTAGAAAATGGGGATAATATCACATTTCATGGATGTTTGTAGGATTAAATGAAATAATACGTAATGTGTCTGGTCTAAGGTTTGGCTTATAGCAGGGAGGCAACAAATGGTATGGTTCTATGCCCTGCTTTTCACAGCATGTTGTTTCTGAGATCTTTCTGTACGTACAAACTTATTCTCCCTTTGAGGAAACTAAAAGTCTCCCAATTTTTCTTTTGTGGAAAAGCAGCATGTTTACCTGAAAATGGCTGCTTCTACTTTAGTGTGTTTCCCAGCTCTTTTCAAAGCAGGTAATGATTTGTAAAATGCTTAAGTGTACCAGAGGAGCTACCATTTTAACTAATTGGTTTATAATGCAAATAATCCAAAGTGCTTGCCTGGCATTCTGTACTTTTTACACTTCAGGTCTCATTGAGAAGATTTTACCTCCTCTTCATAGAAAATATTAACCAGATCAGTCCATGAACTCTAAAAAAGTAGGTTTTATAAGAATTCAAGAGTGCATTTCAAAAGCTGAATGTAATACCAAGAACCAGTGTTTGACTGGGACTGAAAAACAGAGGAAGAAACCTGAGCCTTTTCTATTTTCTGTGGCTTCGTACTTTCTGACACTGGAAATGCCAGATGAAATTTTAGATTTGAATGCAGCAAGTTATCTTGTGATATGGTTTGGCTGTGTCCCCACCCAAATCTCATCTTGAATTTAGTTCCCATAATCCCCACATGTCATAGTAGGGACCCAGATTTAATCATGGGGCAGTTATACTCATGTTGTTCTCATGAGAGTGAGTGAGTTATCATAAGATCTGATGGTTTTATAAGAGGCTTTCCCCTTTTTGCTTGGCACTTCTTCTTGCTGCTGCCATGTGAAGAATTACATGTTTGCTTTCCTTTCTACCATAATTGTAAGTTTCCTGCGTACCCCCCACCACCAGCTATGCTGAACTGTGAGTGAAGCAAACCTCTTTCCTTTATAAATTACCCAGTCTCAGATATGTCTTTATTAGCAGGGTGAGAACAGATTAACACATCTTGCTTACCTAATTTTACCCTTTTGCCATAAGAACTTCATCCCTTGAAATTTAAAAGCAATATAATGGTAACTTCGAGTTCAGGCCAGTTCTGTGATTTCTCTTGCATAGTTCACTACATAAAAAATGTAGTTCTGAGCTTGCCTTCAAAAGAACCCATTTCAAATTTCCAATGAGACATTAGAAACTGAGTACTTTTCTCTTGAAGATGGATACATTGCAATCCTGAAAGGTTGAACTCTACCTAAGGTGAAATAGCTAGAGGATTATGGAAATGTAATAATAACTTAAATTTCTAAGGTTATTCTAAAACACTGCACTGCCTTTACAGACCCATAACATTGGAAAAATTATTTTATTTTTATATGTGTCATTCCTTTCTTTCTCTTTCCCTCTCTTGGCCAGACTCATTGATGCTCTTAACATCCTGACCTCATATTCCCAGTGTTGTTTAGCTAAAAAAAAGTTGACATTGGCTAGGATATAGGATTTACTTATAAGATACATAAAGTTCTAAGTTTTGGAGAAATTCCCACAATAATTATTATCTCAGTACACTTGTCCAAAAAAAGGGAGAAGGACAATGCAATGAGATTGTCAACAAAGCAAAGGCTATGTTTATGTTTGTACACAAAACAAGGAAATCTAGAAAACTCAGCAAACATTTTTAGAGAGATTGGGATTTGGGGCGTCTTCATTTTTTCAGTTGTTTTCTGAAGGGAAATGGAGCAGTGGATTAGCTGATTCATTGTCTGAAACTTCTTGAGATGTAGTGTGTAGTAAAAAGTTGACCATTGCCCATGGAATGCCTACCTACCAAGCACAGTCTTCCTTTAAGAACTTTACATATATCATATCTTTAGTCCTCACAAGGATATAGGT